AAAGAAGAGGGGACATTATTACCAATTTTACAGAACTATAAAGGATTATAAGAGTATTATGAACGACTGTATGCCAACAAATTGAATAACCTAGATGAAATGGATTTCCTAGAACTCTACAACCTACCAAGACCGAATCGTGAAGAAACAGAAAATCTGAATAGACTGACAATTAGTAAGAAGATCGAATCAAAAATCAAAAACGTCCCAACGAAGAAAAGCTCAAGACCAGATGGCTTCACTGGTGAATTCTATCAAACATTTAAAGAAGAAGTAATGCCAGTCTTTCTCAAACTCCTCCAAATAGTTGAAAAGGAAAGAATGCTTCCTAACTTATTCTGTGAGGCTAGGATTACTGTGATTTGAAAGCCAGAGAAAAACACTACAGGAAAACTATAGACCAATATCCGTTATGAATATAGATGTAAAAATCCTCAACAAAATATTAGCAAATTGAATCCAACAGCTTTTTTTTTTTTTTTTTTTTTTTTGGAGACGGAGTCTTGCTCTGTCACCCAGGCTGGAGTGCAATGCCGCAGTCTCGGCACACTGCAAACTCCACCTTCCAGGTTCAGGCAATTCTCCTGCCTCAGCCTCCTGAGTAGCTGGGACTACAGGCGTGTGCCACCACACCTGGCTAATTTTTGTATTTTTAGTACAGACAAGGTTTCACTGTGTTGACCAGGCTGGTCTCGAACTCCTGACCTCGTGATCTACCTACCTCAGCCTCCCAAAGTGCTGGGGTTACAGGCGTGAGCCACAACGCCCGGCCCCAAGACCATATTAAAAGGATTATTCACCAAAACCAAGTGGAATTTATCCTAGGAAGGGAAGGGTGGCCCAACATAAGAAAATCAATGTAACACATCACATTAATAGAAAAGAGGGAAAAAATCATGTACATCTCAACTGACACAGAAGGGCGGTTTACTATAAACATTCCCTCTGTGATCAGAAACAAGAAAAATATTCCCACTTTTACCACAGTTTTTCAACATTGTACTGGAAAAGTATAAGCCAGAGCTAATAGATAAGAAATAAAAGGCATCCAAGTTGGAAGGAACAGGTAAAGCTATCTCCTACAGAGAGAAAATTGCAAAGAATTCACAAGAAAGCCACTAGAGCTAGGAAGCGAATTTTTGCAGTTTTGGGGTACGAGATTGACAAACAATGCAGTTATGTTTCTATATACTAGCAATGAATATCCACAAAAGAACTTAAGAAAGCAATTATGTTTATAATAGCATAAGAATAAAGCTAACCAAGCAGGTGCAAGACTTGCCAGTTGTCTGCTGAAAACAAAATACTGTATAAAGAAGTTAAAGAGGCTGGGCACGGTGGCTCATGCCTGTAATCCCAGCACTTTGGGAGTCTGAGGCGGGCGGATCACCTGAGGTCGGGAGTTTGAGACCAGCCTGACCAACATGGAAAAACCCCACCTCTACTAAAAATACAAAATAAGCCGGGCGTCGTGCGCGCCTGTAATCCCAGCTACTCGGGAGGCTGAGGCAGGAGAATCACTTGAACCCGGGAGGCAGAGGTTGCAGTGAGCCGAGATTGCACCACTGTACTCTAGCCTGGGTGACAAGAGCAAGCCTCCATCTCAAAAAAATAAAGAAAAATGAAGGGAAAAACGAAAAGATAACCAGTGCGCAAAGAAATTCTAAATGTTCTCAGTCCCATGTTTTTGCTTGGTAGAGCACTTTCAACCCACTGCCATATTGTCATTAGTTTCCCTTACAATTCTATCCTTAACTCTGTCCTTTTCCCTTGGAAGGCCCTTGCCAGTATTCCTGCCTACACACTTCCTTTCTTGTGGGTTTGCAAAGACACTGGAATCTCATTTCCACACCAAAATAACAGACGCCAAAAATGTAAAGTCGTGAGTTTATTGCATATGTAACAAAATGAACCTGACCTCCTGGGCCCAGCCTGCTGTACAATCACTGTTTGTTTTGTGTTTCCAGCTGGTTCCATAACCACATTAAATAGAACTAGTATTTCATTAAATACTTTTGATTTTGACATAAAACAGAACATTAGTGTACAACTTTCACAAAATAAATCAGCGATAAAAACCGTGGGAAGGATAACAAGGATAGCAGCAATACTTAAAAACAAGACATTACAAAATAAATTAAAAAATACATTATAAAGTGGTTGAGAAACAAAAATAAACACATTTTTAAAATCCATACTATGTTTCGGGAAGGCTGCCGTGCGGCACACACCTGGCTGCAGATGGCGGGTAGGGGGACATTTTCTCTGCAGAAGGCCTTTCCTGACATCTCGGACTGGGTGACCACCTTAATCTGAATTCGGACCATATGTCTGAACAAGCTCAGGGGTCGAAATTCGATCTGGTGGCAGATTCTCTTTTCAGAACTGGAGAGAGCCCTTTTCCTGTCGCCCCGGGCCTCCCAGGCAGCCTCAGCTCTTCCTACCAAAAGCACTGGCGGAGTGGTGTTTGCTACATCCCTGAGTGTCGGCTGACGGCCGCTGGTGAGGGCAAGCCTGAAAAGCCGGGCCCCTGAAGCATCTGGGCAGAGGGGCAGGGGGCATGGCTGGATCGCCTGGGACCACCGAGAGGGGCGACACAGATCACACGTGAATGGGCTTCGTGCGGACCCAAAGTCCAACAGTCGGGAAGCTTTTACCATTTGCTTGCCATATTGAGTTCTTTGGGGTGGTTCAAAAGGACCAAACAAACCATCGTAGAAACTGAAGGTTCTGGGAGTGCGATGCCACCGACAGGGAGGCCTGTTTGGAAAGAGTGAACCGGAGCTCTGGAAAGGTCTGCGACACTCACACGACCGATGACAAGGCGGCAAACCCACACGCAGGTGGAAGTGGAAAAGCAGAGACGGGGGCCGGGACAGGAATGCCATGTGTCCGCCGGGGCCACCTGTGGAGGACCCGGGACCCAGCCCTCTGGCTCTGGGCTGAAGCAACACCCGGCATGAGAGGCAGGGCAGCACCGACCAGCATGGGGCTGGCGGGTGCAGCTGCTAAGGCTCGCCCCCGACTCCTCCCAACAGCAAAAAGGTAGTTTTAAAGGCGTCAAATGCAACATTCCTGCTTCAAAGTCTTTTAAACCATGAGACCCTGGTTTCCTTCCTAGTTACTGCAGATTTTGGATACCACCACCAGGACAATCAGGTGGGGCCTCCGACCTCATCCCGGAGGCCGCTTCAGTTCTCGGATGGATGTCTCTTCCGCCTCCCGTGGGTTAGGCTCGTGACAGAGAGTGGGCTCTCCGGGGGAGGGCTGTAGTTTTCACTTCCTCACCTTCAAGAGCAAGATGCAAGGAAAGGCTGGATAGAGCCACTGGGAAACGGGCTTCTAGAACACCTTCAGGAAGCATCATGGTGAATGAGACACAGGATGCGCCCACCTGGGGGGGCAAGGCAGAGCTTTTCAAAGAGGCTAAGCCCACCATTGGGCCTGGACTTCTGGAATGGGGGATTAAACTTTCCTCCTGCAGCAAACCTCGTTTGGCAGCCCTTCCATTCTAGAACCTCAGCAGCCCAGAAGTCAACAGTGACAAAAAGAACAGATAAAACCGTTGTCCACAAGGTCCTTCCCAGGCCATCTCAGACCCACAGCGGGATCCCAGAGACTTCGACAGCAGTGAAATGTCTTGCTCATCGATTACCCTGTACTTGCCCCCACCCCAAACAAAAACAACAAAGAAACCATACAGGAACATTGGTTGCTGCTGCTGTTTTCTGCCCAAGTTCAGCTACTGGAAATCAAGCCACTTTAAGATAAAACACTGTTTGACTTCTGTGCAAACTGGAAAATGGTGTCAGAAACTTCGAGTCTAGGCTTGCTTCTGGCCTTGCTGATCATACGAAGACATCTGGGCAAGTGAACCGAGTAGCAATCGTTAGTGTCACCAGCTGCCACTGGGAAAGGGGCCACACGAGGCAGTGTGGAGCTGTCCCCCTCTGCGGTCACAGGTTTGCGTCCACACTCTACTTTTTGTAGAACAGTATCTTTGGGTGGATTTACATCATCGAGGTTATCCTTTCACCATTGCTTTTAAGCTAGTTCGCACCAAGCCAGCAGCTATGATAACACAATTTTGTTAGTTTAGCTCTTAGCAGTTGCCGCATCATGGTTTACTAATATTTTAAGTGACACAGTTGATGCTCTTCTATGGACAACAGTGGCACAGAGGTCACAGCTTTGGGACTGACTGGTTGGCTCTAGGGCTGATTTTGGTCTGCTCTTTTCTACACTCCGTGACATGGTGTTTTCACTGAAAAGAAAAGTCAAACTGGACAGATAATGCAGCAAAAGGGGCCCTTAAAAGATGGTTTTTCTCTACGTAAAATATTCTCAGCCAAGATACCCAGCAAAGAAATATCCTGGCTCCAGGAAAAGCTGCTCCAATTCCTTCTCCTTTCAAAGGGGCAACGCATTTTGACTCAAGCTTCCTGCTGTGGCAGAATTCCAATAAGCATACGTTAGGCAGTTATTTTTCAGTTGGAAATTCATCTGCTGCCCAGAACAGGCTGCTGGGATGTGAAATCTGGAATCTGAGCTCTGGTAAGATATCTAGCAGCTGCTCAAATTGAAAAGGGGCCCCAAGGCTATTTGAGATGGAACAGCGGGGATAGCCAGCAGTTCCAAACCCTCAGCCAGCCACACTCAGTCCCCTAACTGTGGGCTGATGCTCCCGTAAAGAGCTCAGGGCCATGAGCCTTATCACCACATGGGTTGCAACCACAGCAGAATATCCTGTGTGACCAAAGCCAAAGGCTAACCCTGGCTGCATTTTATTGGATGGGTGATGGAAGCGGGTGGGAGTACTATAATAAAGGAGAGATATATGGGTGGGAGCCACCAACAAAAGTCCCCCATCCCCCTCCCCCAACAGAAAGGAGAGAGACAACCCTTTCCCCTCAGGTGATCCGGAATTCCAGGGCCTCTGCCAGCTTTGCAGGAGGCGCACAGAAGCTGGATGCTTTTGGTCTGGTGGCCATGAGCTAGACTCTGTTGCCTTTGGTTGCTTTTCACTCCACAGCAAACCCGCAGGTCTCCTCCACGGCTGTCAGCAGCTTCTCGTAGAGCTTCTCATAGGACTCATATGGTGGAATGTCGATCCGGTTAAAGCTGAAAAAGGACAAAAAAGTGAGAGTCACTGGGTGGGCAGTCCAGCCCTGGGACCAACCTCAAGGCCAAGGACAGGCAGCGAGAAGTGTGTGTGGGAGGGGAGAGGAATGGGGGGCGGGGCAGGAGTGGTGGTGAGTTCTCCATGTCCCCCTGTGCTTTTCTGCCTCTAATACAAAGATTTGTAATTTGTTTTTGCTTTTTGGTAGAGACAGGGTCTTGCTAGTTTCCCCAGGCTGCTCTCAAACTCCTGGCCTCAGGTGAACCTCTTGCCTTGGCCTCCCAACATGCTGGGACTACAGGCCTAAGCCACTGTGCCCAATCAACACAGTGAAGTAAGTCTTGAGCCTTGACAACCAAAACATCACCAAATTACTGTTCACGGCTTCTATCAGGACAAAGCTCTCCGCTTGTTTTTGTCTGTCTGTCTGTGGGAGAAATTCTTTCTCTGTGCTAGGAATGCCTCTTTGGCAGCCCGTGTAACCCAGACTGGCTGTCAGGCAACGTCACCACTAACGATGTATTGCGTGTCTGTCTGTTCCTCTGGGACTTGATCTGAGACCAAAACGGGGCAGTCTGGAAAATTCCTTGCAAAAACAAAATCTCAAAACTAGTAAGATGACAAATCCTTAAAAGATGAAATGAATACTCAACTTTTGACTCGGTATTTCCAGGGGGAAACTCGTTTCCAGTATTTGTGCAAAGAAAAAGACATCCTTTAAGAAGCTACCATAGCAAACCAAAAAGTACAAAATTGTGACCCAGAGGACGTACAGTGACTTCCTGGCTTCCTAGGGTAAGCAGTTACGGAGGGTGTCTGTCTCTACAGAGCTGGGTTCCAGGGTGGGCCCTCTTTTTTCTGTGCTTCAGAGCATACTTTCCACATGCATCTAACACCAAGCACTGAACTGCTAAAGGACAAAAGCCTTGTGAGTAGGTGCGCAGCCAACATGGTGCGTTCCCGTAACGGATGCCACAGCCACGCTCGGAGCAGGACCCTGGCACCCACCACCACGGTCCAGGACCAACTGCATTACCCCATTTCACAGGTGCGGAAAACCAAGTTAGAATATGAAGTCACTTGCCCCAAACCACATGTCAGAGGGTGTCACAGCTAGCATTTGATCCCGCATCCTTGGTTTCCAAGACAGGAACCTTCCATCATCTCACTGGGCATCTCAACAGCATCTAGAACTGGTTCCCCCAAGGAAACGCGGCTACTCGTCTCAACAGATGGTTCCAGGACAAAGTGCGTGCCAGTGACTGGATTTTTAAACCATACAGGAAATACTCTAGTATGGAGACTCATTTTTAAGTTAAAATTTAGGAAGAAAATATTTGCAATAGACAAGGTGCGTGTGTCATAAGCAGGAGTCTAAGAAGATGGGGACCCAGAAATGTCAGATAAAGTGAAGACCAAAACTAGACTATTTTCCTTACCAACAGGTGTGTGTACATAAGACCTGGCAGAGAGGAAGATTTGAGCCTGCTGGAGTGGTAGCCACACTCCACTGAAACACCAATGTTAATTAATGACATGGCTCATAACAAAATTAGTTTCATAAGATACTGTGACAACCTTTCTGTGGCATGCTGCAAAGTACTCGTCCCATCTGACACAAGCACTACTGCCAGTCATTGAGACTTGGCATAAATGAAACAGAGTCCTACAAATCAGAAAACAGCTTTAAAAAAATAACATGAGGCCGGGCTTGGCGGCTCATGCCTGTAATCTCAGCACTTTGGGAGGCCGAGGCGGGCAGATCACCTGAGGCCAGGAGTTCCAGACTAGCCTGGCCAACATGGCGAAACCCCGTCTCTACTAAAAATACAAAAATTAGCCGGGCGTGTTGGCGGATGCCTGTAATCCCAGCTACTCGGGAGGCCAAGGCACGAGAATAGCTTGAACCCAGGAGGCAGAGGTTGCAGTGAATCAAGATTGTGCCACTGCACTCCAGCCTGGGTGACAAAGCAAGACTGTCTCAAAAAAATAAAAAACTAAATCAAGAGAAAAATCTATATTTAAATTTTAGGTTATATATACTGTAAGATTTTATGTTAAGTTTAGCAATAATGTTGGCCCTCTTATAGATATTTTGTTGCATGGCCAGTAAAGCCACTCTATACAGCGTTGTCATGTTGGAGGAAGAGTCGCTTGCTTGAGGGCTTCAGAATTGTCATTCAACTCTCGAATTTCTCCTTGTGTCTCAGGTGCTGTGGCTTTTGAGTTTTGATGATGACAGAAATATTTTAGCAGAGACTCCATCTCCAAAAAAAAGAAAAAACAACAAAACGAACGTGAACGTCGGCATCCTCCGGGGCTCCCAGGACGCCGTGACTTCCTGGCCGCAGTGCTTACCAGGTATGGGCCTTCGGAAGGTTGTCTGTGTTCGCGTCTATCAGGTGGATGGTGAACAGCCGGGGCCCTGCCGCGCCTGTAGAACCTTACAAGACAACATTCTAGTTAATGTACTTCAGAGGCACAGCTGTGGCACTTCCTGGCCACACGGCCCCCAGGAACCAGGGCCCTGACCACGTTCCCACCCCTACACCCAGGCAGGCTGTCCTGTGATAGGGCCATGAGGTTCCCAGGCCCGGTTTTAGGACATGCCTGCAATGGCCATCAAAGTGACAACATTCAGACATTTTTTTGAGACAGGGTTTCTGTTGCTCAGGCTGGAGTGCTGTGGGGCAGTCTCAGTTCACTTCAACATCTGACTGCCGGGTTCAAGCAATTCTTCTACCTCAGCCTCCCAAGTAGCTGGGATTACAGGTACACACCACCACACCTGGCTAATTGTTATATTTTTAGTAGAGACGGGGTTTTGCCGTGTTTCCCAGGCTGGTCTGGAACTCCTGGATCGCCTCAAGTGATCCACCCGCCTCGGCCTCCCAATGTGCTGGGATTACAGGTGTGAGCCACTACACTTGGCCAAAATTCCAACATTTTAGAATATCTTGCAGGGGGCAGAGCAAGAACTGCTAAGGCCCCTCCTAAAGTGCACCCTGACCATGAGCCTGCTCCAGACAGGCTCCCTGAGGGTCAGTGCTGTTTGCACCCACCCTCTGGAACAGACGACTTGCCCACCAGTTCTGTGGGGCAGGGTGAGGCACCAGCCCCTTCTTCCTCAGGTCTTTCCAGACTCAGCCCCAAGTGAGCACCAGGCTGGCCAGCAGCCACCACTGCTGCGGCAAAGACGGCTAGCTGACAGGGCTGCCAGGCGCCGGGAAAGGAGGGCACAGAGGTCACGGGCCTTGGCTGTGCTGCCCCTTGCTCCTGTGTATTCACAGATATTCCTTTCAAGCTGGGCCAAGGTCAGCGGCAGGACAGGAATCCAGGAGCAATGAGGACCAGCAGAGACACCATCTTTCTGTTGGGCAGACAGTCTCAGAGTGCAGCCTCCTGCTTCCTGGGGACCTGGGACAGGAAGGTGGCTCCTCCCCCTCGCAGGCCACACCCTCCAAGCCCCAACCTCCTGGGGAGTCAGGACAGGCTGCGCCAGGTGGGGGGCTTCAGAGACCTCCTGCAGGGCCCTGGCCACTCTGCCTGGCCCTGCCACCCTCCCACAGCACCAGCACTCCTTGTTCTGCACTGTGACCCTGTTCACCTCTGACCCACCTTCTAGACACTTTGGGGACACTGAGCTAAAGTCTATCCAATTATTGGGGGACGAGTGAGACCCTTATGACGACAGGGACCATCTCTAAGCGGGAACATTTAGCACGTGGACCTGCTGTGGGCAAGACAATGGTGCCATGAGAAAAGACTTGGTCAGGAAGCCTGGATTCCTGCCCTGCCTCGCCGTTCACACCTGCCTGTTTCTTCCCCTTGGGGGGATAATAAATCCCATGGCCTCGGTGAGTCTCGGCTTCCTCATCCATGGGATGGGGCTAATAATCCTCGTCAGCCAGGCTCTCTGGGTTGTTGGGAGAACGGAATGAGAAAGGCTTTGTAAATGACAGGCACCAGCACGCTCTGGGAGCAGCTGTCATGGTCAGGCTGGTCAAGCAGACAGAGGCTCCCAGATGCGAGCGGGGCTCAGCCTCGAACCCCTTTTTATTCAGGCCGGGCCCCTGGCAGCAAATCCATAGGCAGAGGTCACAATGGAAAATCGAAGGCGCCCTGATGGCTAAAGCCGACTGAAACGGAATTAACCTCCTTTTACTCAGCGAGGCAGAGGCAATATTCTGTGTTCACAATGTGTCTGTGTGTCTATCCGCATTTACAGTTCAGTCAGCTAAATTTCCGTATGGTGACACCGTGCACCTCACTCCTTCCAGCAGCATTCCCTCCGAACCCTCAGTGTAAAAGATGAGACATTAGGCCGCCGGGCCTACAGGCAGACGGGCACCTTTCCCTCAGTGGCTTAAACAGAGTGAGCATGACATCATCTTTCGGTGTGATCTGTGGCTGAACAGGGGTTCATGTGCAGCTCCAGGAGCCACTGAGACTGGGGGCGGTTCCCCCATAGCTCCCTCCCCGGGGTCTTGGCTAAGCTGGCCTCACAGACACTCTGAAGGCCTCTGCTGGCCAGACCCTCTTGGCTTTCTGGAAGTAGTGAGGAGGGGGAATCCACGAGCCCTGGGGTGGCTCCACAGTCTCTGCTCAGTGGGGCCCCACACCTGCTCACACACAGCCTCTGCAGGGCAGAGCATTAGCTACTGGAGAACATTCCTTATGCCATTTTCTAGCACACGCCTCAGAAAAACATCCCAGCCACCCTCCAGCTCTTCGGCTAGTACAGAACACAGCCCCCACAGACGCGCCATCGAATAGCCCCGCCTCCACGTCAGTCACCTTGCAAAGCCTTGAAGCCTTGGAGCGGGACCCGCGTGGATCCAGTCACAAACTGCAGGAGCCTGGCCCTCCTTTCTTCATCGAACGTCTCCACCGCTTGCCAGAACCACCGCACGATGTTGCTGTCGGCCACACAGTGCTTCAGCCGCGTGTTCGACTTCCAGTCGTTCAAGTCTATTTTATCCAGGCCGCCTATGATCAGCTGAGGAGGTGCAGAAAGGTGAGTTACTTCCAAAATGTATAAACCCACGTCAGGATGCGCCTCCTAGGTACCCGACACACACACGAGTGAAAAGTCGGTTCCCAAGCAAAGCAGCAGCTGTGTCTAAATAAACTAGGCAGACGCTGAGATGGGAAGACAGCTACACACAGGAGGCCTGTGGCACATGCTTCCGTCCGCCGCCTCCCGACGGGTCTCCAACCCCAAGGACCACAGTGCACAGCTGCTGATGGGACGTTGTCTTATAACCAAAGCGGGGTTTTTGCTCTGCATGGGTGAGCAGTATCAAAGCACCAACGGGTGACACTGAACAGAGCTACCACCATGAACAAGGGCACGTCCCAGGGTCTCTCCAGGACACTCAAGGACATGTGGAGTTTCGAGTCTGAAGAGAGGAGAATTCCGCAAGAGTTACGTGGGGCTGGGGCTGATGGGGCGTGTTTGTGCAACTGGCTTAAAAAGTTCACCCCCTGCTAGGTGCGGTGGCTCATGCCTGGGTGCTGTAGTCCCAGCACTTTGTGGGGGCTGAAGTTGGGCGGATTGCTTGAGCCCAGGAGTTCAAGGCCAGCCTGGACAACATGGCAAAACCCTGTCTCTACAACAAATACAAAAAGTAGCCAGGCATGGTGACGGGCACCTGTAGCCTCAGCTACTTGGGAGGCTGACGTGGAAGGATTGCTTCAGCCTGGGAGGTCGAGGCTGCAGTGAGCCACGATTGCACCACCACACTCCAGCCTGGGCAACAGAGCAAGGCTGTCTCAAAAGAAAAAAAACACAAACGTTCACCCCAGAACTACTGCTCCATCCAAGCTCTTGGCTCCCAAGCTCTCCTCACTGGCAGCAGAAAAACTTGGAGAACAATCTACAAGGCTTGAGCTGTTTGGCACCAGAGATGGAGAAGGGCTGAATGAATCACCGTGTTCAAGCACATGCAGTATGACTAGAGAATACAATAGCCCCTTGTTCTTAGTCTAGGAACAGCCAGAATAAAAAGCAGTAAGTTACTGCTGTGGGAGCACCTGGTTCTCCCCCGCTAGATACCCTGAAAACAAGGGAAGCCACAACCACCTTGACCAGTTTTCCGGGAACTATTCAGATTTCCTACCGCCAGGCAGACATCTCGCCGGTTACCAACCGGCATAAATACCTTCTACTCCCCACTCTTGCTCTAGTCTGGGAACTCCAACAGCTCCTAGGCTTACTAGGAAACGGCCGCTCGCAGCAAGGATTTAAAACAGGCAGACGCCAGCCACAGGGGAGCCCCCGAACGCCCTGGGTCAACTCCGCACGGCAGGCACCTACCTCCAGTTCCTTCTGGTCAAAAGGCTTCAGCAGGTGTTGAGGGATGAGCTCATTGAACCCCTTCTGCAGAGCTAAGAACTGGGCTTCAATTCCTCTCATAAACCTCCAGTTTACATACAGCCTGGAAGAAAAACTCGCAAGTTGGATGCAACACCAAGTGGATTTTCCACCATGGGCAGGCTTTTTTTTCCTTTTTTTTTTTTTTGGAGACAGGGTCTCACTCTGTCACCCAGGCTGGAGTGCAGTGGCGCAATCTCGGCTCACTGGAAACTCTGCCTCCTGGGTTCAAGCGATTCTCCTGCCTCACCCTCCCCAGTAGCTGGGATTACAGGCACCCGCCACCACGCCTGGCTAATTTTTGTATTTTTAGTAGAGACGGGGTTTCACCATGTTGGCCAGGCTGGTCTTGAGCTCCTGACCTCAGGTGATCTGCCCGCCTCGGTCTCCCAAAGTGCTGGGATGACAGGCGTGAGCCTCCGCGCCTGACCTGTGAGCCGGTTCTGATACCACAGTCTGACAAACATGGGAACACACTGGGATCCCCCCCAGATCTCTCCACCAAGACAGACATACCACCAGCTAGTAGTACCAAACCTTGGCATCACGTTAAAAATGACTCAGTGCATGCCCTGATTCATTCCGATTCGCCCCTGAAAACAGGAGGATTGAACCTGATCTGTCACATCAATTGCTGCAATTTGAAAGCATGTTCTGGCCAGGGACAGTGGCTCACACCTGGAATCTCAGCCCCTTGGGAGGCCGAGGCAAGAGGATCGCTTGAGGCCAGGGGTTCAAGACCAGCCTGGCAACATAGCAAGACCCTATAAAAATGTAAACAATTTTAAATGTGTAAAAGTACATTTGAAAGTACAGCACAGGACAGCGTGGCACACAGACGTGCCCACATAGTTCTCAGCTGCAAGTGCCAAGGCCTGAACATGGATTTGCCTCAAGTTAGGGATGGAAAAAAACTGAGAGGGTGGCTTCCTCGGACGGAGCACCGAGACCCTCCAAAGCCACTGCTCTCTCCTTTGCCTCTGACCTCTGCATCCATAATTAGGTGGTCACTGAAAAGTCCTTCCCCACATGGGTTCTGTCCCTCAGGCCAGGCCTGGCCCCATTAGGGCCCCTCCAACCAGATCCCCGATGCTGCTGCTGAGCTGTTGGTTTCTGAAAGTCGCCTCTGTTCATGTGATCTGATCACAAGTGCCAGCCATCACACAGCGAAGGAGCTACAGCAACTAAATGCAGGCTCGGCCTCGCCCCAGGCACCTGGCTGTCCCCCACAGGCGACTAAACGCAGGCTCAGCCTCACCGCAGGCACCCGGCCGTCCCCCACAGGCGACTAAATGCAGGCTCAGCCTCGCCCCAGGCACCCGGCCGTCCCCCACAAGCAACTAAACGCAGGCTCAGCCTCGCCCCAGGCACCCGGCCGTCCCCCCAGGTGGCATTACCGGACGTATTCTTTCTTGTTCTCCTCTGTGACCGGCACATTTCTGCCATTGGGTTTCAGTTCATGCTGAAGGATCCGTCCGAAGGCGTTGTGTTCCACGCAGAAGGTGTGGTCCAGTACAGGCGTGATGTCGTTCTCTCTGTTGAAATAAGACAGGAGGATGTAGGTTAGAGCTCTGCCACCACGTGGGGTCATTGGGTAGACAGACAACATTTACGATGGCCAGACCCGGGGCTGCAAGAGAGGACAGCTTCGGGCAGACACAGAACCTGTGTGGGGGCAGCACAGCAACAGGTGCTGGAGGACCTGGACACCACAGCTCTGGTTCCAGATGTCCCCACTCCTGGCTTCCACAATCATAGAAGGCGGGGAGCAGGTTGCTCTACCATCCTGTGGTTTCAGGAGACCCACAACCCAGCTGCTTTGTACACTGAGTGTGGGAGTCAAAAGGCAGGAATGTGAAGAGGTATCAGGGTCAAAGGGAAATTGACCTGGAGATGAAGCCACGCCAAGAAAATGCCGTTCCCGGCCAGGTGCAGCAGCTCACACCTGTAATCCCAGCACTTTGGGAGGCCAAGGTGGGCAGATCACGAGGTCAGGAGATTGAGACCAGCCTGGTCAACATGGTGAAACCCCATCTCTACTAAAAATACAAAAAACTAGCCAGGCGTGGTGGCAGGCGCCTGTAGTCCCAGGTACTCGGGAGGCTGAGGCAGGAGAATCACTTGAACCTGGGAGGCGGAGCTTGCAGTGAGCCGAGATCGAGCCACTGCACTCCAGCCTGGGCGACAGAGCGAGACTCCACCTCAAAAAAAAAAAATAAATAAATAAAAAACCATTCCTCCCTTAGAGGCAGCCTTTCCAAACGCATCAGTTCAAACACAAAAGCACTCAAAAGTGAAAAGTAGCTCTTGAATCTGCCATCGTTCTTGAGCCATAGGCAGAGTGGAAGATTTTCTTTTTGTTTTTTTTGAGACAGACTCACTCTGTCATCCAGGCTGGAGTGCAGTGGTGTGGTCTCAGCTCATAGCAATCTCTGCCTCCTGGGTTCAAGCAATTTTCCTGCTTCAGCCTCCCAACTAGCTGGGATTGCAGGCACATGCCACACCTGGCTTCTTAAAATTTTTTTATTTTTAGTAGGGGCGGGATTTCACCATGTTGGCCAGGTTGGTCTCGAACTCCAACCTTTGACCTCAAGTGAAAAGAGCAAGTGATCTGCCCACCTCAACCTCCCAAAGTACTGGGATAATAGGCATGGAGCCACTGCACCCAGCTGAGTAGAAGATTTTCTACCCGATCCCCAGAGTCCCCTCTTCAAGTTGGAACACATGACACATGGGACACAACCAGGAGGCCCTGACTCCGACTCACCCACATCCCTCCATCTGCCAGAGCCTGATCTTTTGTCCCCTTGAAATCTGCAAGGACCCGTGACAGTCACGGTTCATCTTGTCACTGCCTGCTGCTCTGAACAGAGTGTTTAGAATAATTCTAAAGCACAGGTAACTAAATGTTCATTTTGTTTTGATACTTGCTTGGCCCTTGTGTAGGTTAACTGGAGACACCCTGAGTGTCACACA